AAGGAAGCAATGCAACGCCTCACCAACCTAAAAATTTTATATATCTCAGATTGCCCATGGTTGGAGAAGTGTAGGGAAGAAAAAGGCCTTGATTCTGAATGGTCAAAGATTTCACATATTCAAATCAAATTTGAAGTATGCTTAAGTTATTGGATTTGGTCTATATAGTTGGTAAGTATTTTAGCTCAACCACTGCAGGTTTTCATTATTTCTTTTTCTTATATATTTTAATAATTTACTGTATGTTGTAAATATAAATTAAATATGCCTAAACAATGTCAATAATTGGTAAATTGTCTTGTGTATTTTCACCCAACAAATCACAATACATCAATCGCTATTTCTATTTGTAAGTACTTGTTCTTATAGTTATTATCATTTTGTAAATTGAAAATCAAATTGAGGAACTTCGTGGATTTGTTAGTAGTTTATATCTTCACCATGCTCTAATTATTATTACAATTTAAATTAGACAAGGTTCTCTATTTGCCCGTCAATATTTATGCTTAACCTATCATCTATAGTAAAGTACATTTTGCCCCTATTTGATGCCCATTCAAAAGAGGCTACCTTCTTTTCTTTCTTTTTTTTTTTTTTTTGTGAGAATGTGTGTTTGAAAATAAGTTTTAGCAAGAAAAAAAAAGGAGTTCTTGAAGAATGGTAGAGAAATAAGGGCTATTAATTTCTAGATTTCACTAAGATATCTATATGCAAAATTAATTAATTTTTCCTTCCATTGTAGTCAATGGGACGTGAATATTGATTAGTCAATTGTTTGAGGTGAAAGACGCAATTTGAATTTTTGATGGAATTTGAGCAAATATAAACTTCTCCAACGTAGATTTACAAGGGAGCTAGGTAGCTCTCTTTCAACACTAGTTCATGAATGATTGCGTGCTTGAAATCCAATGTGCATGAAGTATATGAATTGTTGATTTTTAATATTCTAAATGTCCAGATTGTTAAAATCATTTCAAAAGACTATTTCGCCTTTTAATTATTTCTTAGTGTTTATTAAAATACTATTTTGTTTGAATTATTTCTTAAGTCAAGGGATTGCTAGTTCTTATGCAATTTCTTAGGCCAAGGAAAAACATGGCTTCAATTTTGCTTCAAGTTTACGAACACACTGTTCGAACTTACTCAACTAGAAAATTTAACTTCCCTCCTACATGTGCAGAATGCATAGAAACATGTTGATTATTTTCTTTAGCAAATTCATAGCACGCTTCAAGTGTAGTACTCTTAACTTCGTGAAATAGTAATGCAACCATCAATCATTGAAATTTATTACTTGTGAAACAAAGAAAGATTCAGCCACATTAGAATCATGAACCATTGGCTTTGTTCTCACTCGAAAATAATAATGAATGATGAAATAGTGAATTCGTAAATGCCAATGTGCATTGTTGTGCTCGATCCAAGAGTGAGATCATGCTTAATTTAGCTAAATTAATTCCAATACCTAGCAATTCAAATCAACAATTTTCACACCCAAAAACACGAGAAGAAGTTAAAAATACTACGACAAAAACAACTTTTTACAACAATCAAAAAATGTTGCGAATGACCTTTCACAACGTTCTTGCGTATATTCTGGGCTTTGATATTGTCGTAGAGTAGAAGGATACAACAACATTCAAAAAACATTGTGAAAGGGCTTTCGAAAATGTTGTCTTTTATTTTTTGCAACGTTCATTTACTGTTATTAATAATATTTTTGCAACATTTTTTAATTGATTCAAATAATTTTTTTACAACTTTTTTGAATGATGCTAATAATTTTTTTATAATGTTTTTTAAATATTGCTAATAATCTTTTTGTAACATTTTTTGAATGATGATAATAATCTTTTTACAACATTTTTTGAATGTTGCATGTGCTTATATTCTGCTTGTTTGATTATTATTATTATTATTTTTTTGCAGCACTTTTTGACTGTTATCATGGGCCATTTTATGTTTTTTTTTTTTTTTTTTTTTTTTTTTTTTTTTTTTGAATTCTACATTTTTCCCTATTTTCAAAGCTATTTATGCAAATTGGCCTTGCAAAATTAAATATTTACTCCTTACCAAGAGCTTCTGGACTACAAAAAATAATAATTTCATTACGAATTCGAATCCATACACTTGAATCATAAAAGAAACTGTTGAAATAAGAGCAAATTTTTATAAATTTTTTATCTAACAAAAAAAATTAAGAACCCCGATCTGCTATCTATATCCCGAGTTCAAATGCTTCGATTTCAAAGTCAAACCATCTTTCATATCGACTACTCATGTCCTTATCTACAAGTTCATCAATCTTATAATCTCACATTGAACTCCAACCAAGAATCTTATTAAACACTTCTTGAGCTAACATGTCCTTTCTTCTAATCAAGGAAACACCCTTCGCCAATATTTTGAGTCCCCCTCCAACATATCCTCTGCATTTTGACTCCAGCATTCAGTAAAAAAAAAAAAGGCCTTTCGATAATTCTAGGCACAAGATTGCATTTAGTTATATTGAAGGGACTCATGTAAAGCAAAGATTGCGCAACAGTTGTTCAGTCCTAGGATTTTCCAAGTTTTGCTTAGCGAGTTCCATAAGCTCACGAACTTCATCTATAATGGACATTTCATCATTAATATCGAAGCATGTTTCTAGAAGCATTTCATGGAGTCGGAGATTCAATGGTATACCATCTGCCCAATGGCAGGACTCCACCAGAGATCCATCAAATGATCTGCTAGCAAGTGCCATTACTGTAGTCCAAAGGACTTTCATAGACTTGTTGTTCGTCCCAGATTCCATTGGCCTCTCTGAGGTAGGTTGAATAATTTGGTGAAGTCACTGAGCAGCAGTATTGACCAGTATTCAACTCTTTCATCTGATTAAGCTTGCAAATTTAACTGGTATCATTGTCTACCAGAGGTTAAGAAAAAGGAAGATTATAAACATTAATCCTTGAATGCCCACACACTTGTAAGAGACTTTACCTCGTCCATTGACTTGATCTTGTTTTTTCTAGCATTGAATACTTGTATAGTAAACAACAAAAAGACTTGAATCCCATTTCAGTGAGGGTATATGACATGTCAGTAACTTTGAATTTATGAAACTTGTACATATAAGAATGCAAAGAAAGTAACCGTTGATCATGAATAAAAATCAGTAGAAGAAAATAAAGATAATTCAACATTTTTTGTCCTCATTTTACATTATCATCAAGCAAAGTATATAAAACCAATTATACTAGAGGTGGCTTAATTTTGGGTAGAAGAATGTTGACTAACATCTAGCTAGATGAGTTATACATCAGGATCTAGATCACTCAATCTTCTGAGTAAATTTTCCAAAAAAAGAAGAAGAAACTTCCAATAATAGAAAATAAGGATAGGATAAATGATGAAAACTCTGTTTGATTTAAGAAAACCCTCACTTCAAAGCTTTCAATTCCTGTGAACAACAGAAGGTTTTCATTAACTTTCACAGCAAATAAAATTGGAGACTAGATGAAGGATAACGATCAACTCAATTTCTCAATTCAAATATGATGATTCTGTTGAACAATGAATTGTATATATTAACGGCTAGAAATGAAATTTAACTTTAATACCATGTATGTGATGATAAAAGGCAGCATCAGATTCTAAATATTGACGTACTTGCATTTGATGAAATGTTAGCATTTACAGTGATCCAAGTCCTCCAACCAATAGCTTCATTACTGATGAAATCCTAATCCTATTTATACTCTGAATAGAATTCAAATTTCAGCAATTAAATAAAGCTCTTGAAAGCTTCAAATTTGAAAAACTCAACAAGGAAAAAAAAAATTGTAAAATATGGTTGTGTGGTGATTTGTGCTACTTTCAGTTAGTTTATTGAGGCCCTCAATCCGTTTCAAGCTCTCGATCTTGTTCTGCAAATCTGATAACCACTCCAAATTCATATAAGACTTCAAACCTTGAATTACATGTCAGTAACTTTGAATTTATGAAACTTGTACATATAAGAATGCAAAGAAAGTAACTGTTGATCATGAATAAAAATCAGTAGAAGAAAATAAAGATAATTCAACATTTTTTGTCCTCATTTTACATTATCATTAAGCAAAGTATATAAAACCAATTATACTAGAGGTGGCTTAATTTTGGGTAGAAGAATGTTGCCTAACATATAGCTAGACGAGTTAAACATCAGGATCAAGATCACTCAATCTTCTGAGTAAATTTTCCAAAAAAAAAAAATAATAATAAATAAATAAATAAAAATAAAAAACACTTCCAATAATAGAAAATAAGGATAGGATAAATGATGAAACTTCCAATAATAGAAAATAAGGAGAGGATAAAATTAAATTTCTTAGAAAGCCCTTAGAAACTCTGTTTGATTTAAGAAAATCCTCATACTTCAAAGCTTTCAATTCCTGTGAAAAACAGAAGGTTTCAATTCCTGTGAACAACACAGTAAATAAAATTGGAGACTAGATGAAGTATAACAATCAACTTAATTTCTCAATTCAAATATGATGATTCTGTTCAACAATGGATAGTATATATTAATGGCTAGAAATGAAATTTAACTTTAATACCATGTATGTGATGATAAAAGGCAGCATCAGATTCTAAATATTGTCATCTAATTCACGTACTTGTATTTGATGAAATGTTAGCATTTACAGTGACTGGAAGGCTCTGAAATCCAAGTCCTCCAACCAATAGCTTCATAACTGATGAAAGCCTAATCCTATTTATACTCTGAATAGAATTCAAATTTCAGCAATTAAACAAAGCTCTTGAAAGCTTCAAATTTGAAAAACTCAACAAGGAAAAAAAAATTGTAAAATATGGTTGTGTGGTGATTTGTGCTACTTTCAGTTAGTTTATTGAGGCCCTCAATCCGTTTCAAGCTCTCGATCTTGTTCTGCAAATCTGATAACCACTTCAAATTCACATAAGACTTCAAACCTTGAATAAATGTAAAAATTAATAAAAGAAATGTCGGATACATCAAATGGTTCCCCCCCCCCCCCCCCC